TTCCAACAGATAAGCGGCTTCGCAGAATAACTTTTTTGTGAGATTAAATATGCAGAAATTATTTATTAATCTCCATAAAGCTAAATATCGCATAAAATAGAAAACTTGTTGTTTTTGATGCATCATCTGCGATTATATTCAATAATGATTAACTTCAGATGTTGAAGAGTTATCATCCGCTGATGAGCATGGGTTTGTAGCTACGCTTTGCGCAGTCGGTTGACGTGTTTTAGGTGCTTTTACGTTTTATGAAACTCAGAGAGAGAGAGAGAGAGAGAGAGAGAGAGAGAGGCGGAGAGAGAAGAGAGATTGTCACTGGAGCTAGAATGTGACGTAAGGACGTTTCGCGACTGACCTTTAACCCAGCGAATCGATACTCTTATGCGGTAGATAAAGTTAATAATACTCAAAATAAACCGTGGCAGCAACGTTATTAAAATAGCTCGTACATGCAAACCCTATTTCATAAGAGCTGATAGATTTCGTTGCCGACCAGCGACGCGTTATCGAGACGAGTGTTCGTGGTAATCGGCTGGCAGATACTACCACGCCTTAATTAATATCAATTAGCTTCTCGTTATCGAGGCAAGGTTTTACGAGAGGGAAGCAAGCAAAAAATACGATATACTTATTAACTTTAACGCGTCATATGAGCTTTCTGCGCGAACCAATCATTTTAGATGCGTACAAGTGATAAAAAAGAAAAGAATTTCTACAGAGCATCTTACACGAATCTTTTCATCTCACGCGCATCTTTTCCGAATCGAGTCGGAAATTTCTACCTTCCTCTTTTTCGACGATTCTCCTAACGAGCGGATCCGCGGCGAATTGCAGTCGCGATAGTCATGTTAGTTACAGGAACGATATCGGGAGAAATAATAGAAATTGCTAAGTGGCTATAATGACTTCCGGGACCGCGGAGATTTTAATGTTAAAGAGCGCGGAGTGTACGCTTCCGTAACGAATTCCGTCTTGCCGTATCTCTCGTCGTCGTCTTCTCTACGGTCTTATGTATACGTAATTGCAATTAGGAAGGCCGCAACAAAAATGCAAATACGCAGGATAATAACGACGCAGGCGTGGCGTACGGTTTCCGCGGAAGTGGATTCGGTGGAGTGTCCTCCTTTGTAACCGGCCTTCGTTGAAGGGACAACGCAAGTCAGATAACAAAAAAGCCTGGTGCGGTCAGAGCTCGAAAGGGATTCTCCGACGAATAATGACCTTACGCTTCATGCGGAAATTTATTCTTTTCGCGCTGGCTCCTAAACCGGTATTTTTCGCGAGGTTGTCGCCGCGGGTTCTCTTTCTCTCTCTCTCTCTCTCTCTCTCTCTCTCTCTCTCTCTGTCCCTCTTTTTCTGCTTCTCCTTTTTTTCTCTTTCTGTCTGTCATTCCAGTTTCTTGCCTTTTCCCGGAACTTTGAAGTTATTAACGGTTAACGCACCTTGTTAACGTCAAGATGCAATCTCGAAAGAATGACGAAAGAATCTTTCGACGCGAAAATTCCAAGTAAACTTTTCCCGAGCTATTTCCGTTTTGCCACGCGCCTCAGTTTCTTTCGCTTTTCCAATCACGAAAGTTGTGATCACGGTGGAAATTCTTGAAATTCAGGACTGGAACATTCGTTTCTCACGGCGTTTGATCTCTGCGCAACGTGAGATAATGCGGATAGCGCAGAATAGTGCAGCGGCAGCACAGGCAAGTAAATTTAGACTTTCCTCCGCGAAAAGGGATACGATATCAGAATTACCACTATATCGAGAGAGCAACGCGCTTCCTCCTACGATATTTTATTATGCGCGCGTTGCAACACACGCGGAAGTAGTGCGCGCTGCGTTGGTGGAGCGTACGTAAAATATATTTACGAGGTATCCGGGGATATGTTAACCATGAAAAGTTTCGGTGCTCATTCATTTACGAGCTCTTGAAAAGCAAAAGTTTCCGAGGGAAGGGTTCGCCAGCCAAATGAATTTATCCTCACAGTTGTATTTTCCATTTCCATTGTGGAGCCGCACCGCCATAATGCAGCCAGACGCACATCCAATCGGAACGGTGTATTTTTGTCAGCGAATTTATCTCAATATCACCCGTATCATAATTCATACGCGAGATTTAGGATGGACGTCGCCTCGGGCCGTCCTCTCCGACCTATCTCGATTTCATTGCGGTTTCAATTTAGGACGTATCGCGATGCTCTCCGAGTGATTTTCCGCTCCCTTTTCCTTTCCCCGTCCGTAATTCCTCGGACCCACGTACGTACCAACACGATATCCTCGTTCCTACGAAGGGGAGAGTTTGAAAGCATCGTAAAACTAAAGACACAAGACGTGACCTCCGAATGTTGTCGTCGCAGTTTATATCTTCTTACGATTACGCATCATCTCGCGGAAAAGCGGCCTTAAAGTTGAGGAAATGAGTCTCAATAGAAGATGGAGGAGAGATAAATGATTCGCCCGACGCGCGCCGCGGAAAACCCTTGGAACACCCGCGGGGGAGCGAGCATCGGTCGGCTTCAAGGTCGACTTTTATTGACGCGCGATTCGCGGGATATTTCGCGTCGGAGAAGCACGAGAGGCCCGAGTAGGCGTAAATCGCGAGGTCGGTCCAGGCGGGGATTTACTCGCGGAATAAAATCGCGGTCGGGAATTTATCGTCGGCGCGGGAAAGTTCGCCGGTCGCGGTTCGCTCGTGTCGCCGGCCGACGGGAAATATTGTTTCGCGACGAGGCCGAGGGACAGAACCGGCGCGATGTCTGTCTCGCCGGCAGAGCCTCGGCGAACGAGCCACGGATGCGAAAGCACAATGGCAAACCGCCGGGCGAGGGCTTTAAGGCTCCGAAACTACGTAATGCTCGGCCGTGATGTACTGCGAGTGCAACCCGAAACGTTGGCCGCGTCGTAAAAGATGAGCGACGTTTACGAGGCCGCAGATTCGATGCGCACGAGATGGTAACGGTCCGGCTCGATGCGAACCCGCGACCCGGTGCGCGCACCCGCGCACTGTTGCAATTTCAAATGGCGAGTCACGAGAGGCAACGCGAACTCGCGTGTGGTGTGCGTACAGACGGACTCTCTCTTTCTCTCTCTCTCTCTCTCACACACACACATACACACTCTCTCTCTCTCACTCTTTCTCTTTCTCTCCTGTGAGAGCCCGTTACGGATAAAGGAGAGAACGTTAATCTCGCAACGGACAGACAACGTAACGATCGCGTCGTGCTGAGCGAGCGGGCGCGCGCGCTCTGCGAACTTGTAGCTGTGGTCGGTGCGTTACATACGAATGGGACGCGTTAAGGATCTGACATGCATCTAAGCGATAACGACCCACGCGCTTGGGAAGCCACCGGGAAAGTATTTTGGGAACGACTGGAGCGAACGAGCGAACTTCGATTTGCGGCGCAGTTTGATCGTCACCGCCCTACTCGTCCGCAGAAATTCACGTATCGTTAATTCCTTCCTGAAGTTCCAATGCTTCACACAATGTTAAATGCCGCACAGTATCCATAGGTTGATATTCCAAAATTAGACGACTCGCGGACTCTGACATTGATACAGTGGGAGAAAAAATATTTAAAAATTAGTATATATTTATTTGGTTGGAATATTAATATATTTACTCTTGTACTAATATGAAAAATATGTTTTACATACGAATAAGAAAATATATATTTTCTTAAAAAATCTTAAGAAAACCTTTATTTCTCATGAAAAAGCAATTATTTATTCTATTTAAATTAAAGAATTTAAATTTAAATAAATATCCTGTTAGTACCCAAATAAATATTTAACAATTTTTAGGTATTTTTTTTCTCAATGTATGATGCTATCACTCAATGAAAACTAAATGTTTTAAATTCTCCCAATATTCGTTAACCTATTGATACCGCATAACGAGTATGACTCGTTTTCTGCGCGAAAGAATCTGTGCAAAGATCGTTTTTAAAAATGTTTCAAATCAAATATTTTTATTCATTAAAAGTTATATTAAATAAAAGAGAGAGAGAAAGAGAGAAAAAAGAGAAAAAAGAAGAAAGCGTTGCAATTTTTATATCTTGAAAAATTCTATATCATATATGAAAAATCATATATGTTAATTCGAAAATCAGTACGGTTTCAATGAGTTAAACTCATTAAATTTGTAAACGTCCTTAGAGCATGCTTATCAAATTTTTGTCTATTTATTTGTATGTCTCTCGGTGTAAAATCGACCAGAAGAATGTACGGCGATGATAAATGAATGAATAGCTTAACACAATTTTCTCATTTCTCCATTCGTCTCTCCGCGGTTACGTAATTCGCGCTCTACGCGACAGAGACGTTCCCGAGGCAGTAGAGATTCGCGTAGACGGGAAACGAAATAACTTTAAGCAGTTGATACATTCGACCGTGCAATTCGCGGCGGACTGTTGCTGTAAAACGATAAGTTACGAAGTTGCCATTATCCAAAGTAAACATGTGCTACCGTAGCAATAACACGGCCATCCAACCGCGCGGATTCGGAAGATCACTTGAACAAATATTAAACGCGCACGCTCCATCTATGTTAATATCGCGTCATATCGATTAACATAAAATCTAATAAAACAACGACAGGTAACTCTCCACCGCAAGCTTTTGAAAACGGTGTGTGCGATCGAACGAAAACATTCTGCTCGTCGTCGAGAACAAATATTCCACCGTAATTGTGATACATAAAATTTCGACTCCGCGGATTGAACAGACGTCACCCCGGCAAACTGTCAGTTCGATAAACTCAAAAGTATCTCTCTTTCGTTCTTTTGCGCGAGAAAAACAATACGGATTGTCTCGGTAGAAAGCGCATCCGAAATCGCGAACGGGTATTTATCAACAGACAGAATATTTCACGTAATATCGCCCGCGGCTGCTGCGACAGCCGATCTTGTAAACGTGCTAATGCTATAAAACCTCCCGCGGTAACATTATAAACCGCGGTGTTTCGAATGCATGTAACAACATCGCGAATAATCACAAAATCCACTTACATTAACGTAGCGGGAACAATCGATGTCATTTGATTCACATACCTGCAACAACAAAGTATCATGTTTGTTAATCTTACGATGTGTCGTGAGAGAGGAGACACTGAGAGAGAAAAATTCATCTAAAAAATAAAGTTGCCGAAATTATATCGGTCTCGTAAATAATACCTAATCCAATCTTTTTATTATTGAAAATATATATGACATCTAACAGTAAAAAATTAGGATTAAACAATGAGAGATATAAACAAAACATTTGCAGACTATATTTTATTTTGCGCGTATTACAAACATTTTAAAAGATTGAAAATTATTGATGAGATTGGGAGATCGGAGATTTCCGCAACTCTCTCCTCTACTTGTACAAATATAAAACATTTTTCACAGAAAAGAATATATTTTTTTAAACTGTGGTTCTTCGTGAAAACAGTTGTTTATTATGTAATAAAGGAATTTAGATTTAAGTAAATATGTTATTAGCACTCGCCGAATAAATATTTTTTTAATTTTTAGATTTTTTTCTCTCACAGTGTAGTTGTATCATGTTTACGTTACGCTGAAGAAAGAGTTTGGTTGGCTTAACCAAATTCCTGATGAAATATGAACGAATCAGAAATCTGGTCGAAGTTACCCGAATTCTGTTCGAGTTAACACAAGATTTCTGATTAATTTGAACAGGTTCTGATTAATTAGAAATTTTGCTAACTTGAGCAGAATTCTGGTAATTTCGACCGGAATTTCTGATTTGATTTTCATATCTCTTACCAGACATTTGGTTAATTCAGGCTGAATTACTTTTCGTGTATATCGTCTTGCGATTACGATTTTCCGCAGAAGTAGGTCACATTTTCGGGTGTGACAGATCGGTGGTCGCGCTGTCAGGGACAGAAAGAGAGAAAGAAAGAAAAGGAGGTCGCTCTCCCATTTTTTCCACTTCGCGCTGGAAAAAATCCGCATGACTCTTTTTCCCGCCGTTCGCAAATTTTCACTTCGCGGCGAGTTCTCCGCCACGGGCCTTTACCCCCTTCGACAGTCTCGGCGCTTAATTCCAGCTTTTCCTACGCTTTTATTCGCGGTCGTCGTTCACCTTGCACCCGGTGCGCCAACGGCGACGACGAAGAAAGAAAAAAAAAAGAATCGATCGATGCGAGCTCTCGGTCGTTCGCCGCCGCCGTTGACGACGACGACAACGACGACGACGATGTCCTCGTGTCGTTGGCAACGACGTGCCGAAAAGAGACCAGAAAGAGACCGCTTCTCTTGCGCGCAGAGATTCAAACCGGCTAATTGAGATTACACGAGGACGTCTCTCCTACGAGCTTCTTAATAGCGATATAAATCCCGTGACGCGTTTCCCTTCCCTAATTTAAACGTGTAACAGTGCCGGATGTGTCATCATACTTGTTCGCTCAACGGCGAGATAAAATTCGAGCGAGTATCAAATTGATACGCGAGAGACTTCGTCGAACGCGTTCGAGCACGGTGAATGAACTGGCGTCGCGATAACCGGACATTCGATCACCAATTTCTATTTTCTATTTTCCATCTTCAATTCAATCGCCAGTCGCGATCAATAATTACGCTCCCGCCGGCTAATTGATTATTTAACCACATAAATTAATTTATATTTGCCTGTCCGAAGTTTAATAACGCCCCGGACACGCCGCTACTTCAAGAATTCATAAACAAAAACGACGCAATGTCCACGTTCTATCCCCGCAACGATATGATATTTAGATAAATCGCACTCGCGCGTTCGTTTAAGCAAGAGGCAGTGCATCGCGAACCGGAACGAAGTATTACGATTCTTTTTCGTTCGCTCCTCACCGTTAACCGACATTACGGAGATGGGGTACAGCTGGTCGCGCAGCCGTTTTCGTTAATCGGACGAAATCCGCACGTAAAAAATTACAAAAAATAAAGAAAAAACCAATGACAAAAACAGAACACGCAAATGGCCGCGGCTACTACCACGCGCGAAATTGGACATTTCGTTTAAAGTTGGCGTTAAACACTAGCTAAAACTGCCCGGCGTTGCTCGAATTACCACAAAGTATCAAGGGAATGAGATCATGGATAGGGGGTGAGGTGTCCAGGTTTCCGGGTAGCTTATGTTTTCCTATATTTTAATATTTTTTAGTGTCCTAGAGAATAATTATGTAAACTTTAGTTTAGAAAAACTTAAAAACTTAAAAATAGAGAACATAGACCGACAGACAAGCATTCTGTTTTATACATAGATTTAGGGAGGACCTTAAAGTGAAATATAATGACCTACATTGGGTCTTAAAGGGTTAAATGAATGGATGCGGGGTTTTAAAATTCTGTCGTAACGGAGAAGACATCCTACTTTACGAATGACCCCCTTTGATGTAAATGGACCGGCGAAATTCGCTGCTGCGTGCGAACTTTACGATTCTATTACTCTTCGATACGTCGTCCCGGTATCGATATCGTGGTCGATCGGCGGAGACGATCTAATTCAGATTTACGACGTGTCGAGAGAGTGCCGAGGTTACATCCCATCGTTGTCTGTTGCAAACGCGGCAAGAGAGCACGACACGCTTATAATTGACGTTCCGAGGATGGCGCGGATTCTCAAAGCAGCTTTTATGCGAGCTTTATTAAGGGCAGCGTGCCGAGGTATCGCACTGCTGCCGCGTAGAACAATGCGGCTCTCCGCTTCTAACTCCCCTTGGTCTTCCTCTTCGTCAACCTTATGCCGGAATGTAGCAAAGAATTACGGGCACCGCGGTAACGGATTAAGAATAAGAATCGTGACAGAGGAGATGAGGAGACTGGGTTAACGGCGAGGAGGAGGCTGTGATTAAAATCGCGGTCGGCCGACTAAGCGAAGCTTAGCGCGGAGCCGTGGAATTATACGGTGTGAATATTTTTAGTAAAGTGATGAATGTGAAACCGTCTCGTGTTGCTCCCTTTCAAGGAGCGTCCTCCGCGATCTCAAAGAGGGCACACACGTCGTCGAAAGGAGTTTCGATACCGTTCGCGCGCGATGTGTCCTCCATTCCTCCATAAATCCGACGAGAATTCGCCCGACAGTTCGCGCCGCATGATACTCTCTGCCTACCGACGTTTTATCAACGAATTTTTCGCCGGGATCGCGCACGGGTTTCATAAATCTTCAAGAGCCGAGAAATTGACGCGCAGCGACTGCAAAGAGGGGTCCTTAGCTGATTAAGTTACCGCGCTTTCGCTACGTCTCGAGAATTAATGAATACTGAGACGGCTGAGCCTAACATTAAATTGCATGAGATATTAATTAAATTCAAACAGAAATTAAAATTGCGCGTCGGGAGTTACACACCGCGAGGACGGAAGGGATCAGCGCAACTACGGGGAGCGAAATAGCTAATAAACATCAATTCGGCCGATCTTGCCCCGCTCCGAGCAATTGTCGCAACAGAAATGATACAGCTCGAGCAAGTTTGTTTGTTTTTTCATATTAATGGATACGCGTTAATGACAAGTGAAGCTTACTAAGAGAAAACTTTACTGCAAGGAACGCACAGACAAACATCGTACGGTACAGAATGCGACTTAGCGATTAAATTTGCCGTCTCACTGTCGTCATCGTCGTCGTCGTAGTCGCCGTGCTGGCATGCGCGAAATTAATGAGCGCCAGGCGTGCTGCACATGCATTGTATCTTTCTCGTGCGTTGATTGCGGCCTCTTAACTCGACTTCGTCGTCGCGGCGCACCGCGGAAAGTGCAACGTGGAAAACACACTCGGCCGGCCGAAGGAGGCGCGATGAGAGGATAGTTCGTGCGTGCTCATACGTAGGGACGTGCCGGACGGCGTGTACGTCTAGCCTGGCCGCAGAGTCCGCGAAGGGGTTGATTACAATATATGAATATTCAGTGGGGCAGACGCCGCCTTTACTGCTCCTTTTTCGCCTTCTCGGGCTTTATGCGAAGAGAGAACTCGGCCGCCGCCGTCGGCGTAGCCGTTGCCACCGCGCGCGGCCACACCGCCACCCACCACCGCTGGCCACCGCTGGCAAAGTTCGGGAACCGGCTTAATTAATTCCCACGGAAGTGAAACCTTCGTTAACGCCGGTTTGCGCTAATTAGAGCGAATTAAGGAAAAACGCCGGGACGGAGACGATCCCGGCGTATCATTGTTATTGCTGCGCGTGGCCGATTGCCTCGAGAGAGCACGTCGTGGAGTTCTTCAAGTCGGAGTTGGGATATCGTTCGTCACTTGTAGGGAGGAGATAAGTGAGTGAGAGAGAAGTTGCAGCGTGTTTCGTCATTGCAGTCTTCGATCTTCTCTCTCACTCCTGCATTGAAGAAATTGTTTTTATATTTGAAACTAAAGTATTTACATATGATATAGTTGATACGTTTTTTACTTGTGTCAAATATATGTATTTTTTTTTTTGGTTGCAACTACCAAACATTTGGTTGGTCGCATTTTAACCAAGTCGTGTATCAAATTTTCGTTTCGACATCAAAATCCTTTTTTCAGTGCGGGTAAATTCGCAAGAGATAACTGCTAGATGGCCGGTCACAGTTGGGAAATTGGAGACGAGTTCAAGCAGAGTCGCGATTTTTTTGAGATCCGGACAATTTCGAAGCATTCGAGGAATGCAGAAAATTTGTGACACGCGCGGAAATGATTCATTCTCTCTCTCTCTCTCTCTCTCTCTCTCTCTCTCTCTCTCT